GATGTTTTTCCCAATTAGAAAAAGTTACGAATTGTCCAGCAAAAAACCTTCTATCGACATCCTCTTTATTTCTAGCAGCAAAGTATACTGCTACCAAATAAGTCATTACAAAGATACCATTTTTCTAAATAAATAATAAAATGGGCATAACTCACCAATATATAGTAACAAAATAATTCCTAAAAACACTATTAAAAGCAAAGATAAATAATTATCTCGGACAAAACAGGGGATTGCATTTAAATTATTTCAGAAATAAGCTGTAACCATTATTGCACAACTAATAAAAAGCACTGAAACATCGTCTCAAGCTACAGAAACGCATATAAAATAATTTGATAATTCTGAATACATTGCTAAGCTCTTTCTGGAAGAATTTACCCACCAAAAATCAGGTTCAATGGTTTTCAATATAAAATGAGAGACTGGTATTCGCCGGCAGACATCCTTCGTCCTATTTACAAATGGCATAAGGGTTTCGTTGGGGCCTGGAGAGACGCTGAGTGAACTCATCCTGCTCTGGGAAAGGAATGGGCCAGTTTCTTTCCTAATTTTTATGCCATAATATTCTGTCGTGCTCAAAAACCAAAAGAAGGAATTTCAAAAACATTTATTTTGAAAATACTTTCCTGGAGCAAAGTTGGCGTATCTGTTTGCCAACAGAATTTAGGACCCGAAGCCGCTAGACAGGCCTTGTGCTCTTGCCCTCAGCAAGGCCACAATTATAAATGACTGAACAAAATGAGCAGGGCTTGTTGTCAGGTGCACAGACTTCCCAAGGTGTCTTCCAGGGGTGCGGGGGGAGATAGTCTAGGTAGTTTTTTCTTTTTTTTGCAGTTAACATGGAGTAAGGTGGTAAGTCAACCAACTACCTTAAGTACTATAATTTCACCAATTCTCTTCAGTGGTTTATTTCTTCAGGAAGCAGTCTGTATAGTTGATTATTTTTTCCCTAGAGAAGATCATGGAACTTCTGTCAAGAATTTGACCATACTCCTATCTTTTGATACTCTGGTAAAGACTTAATTTTTTTTTTAAGTTACCATTTCTCGTCCAATGGAAAATATTTCTAGTCGATAGAATTTTAATGTAGCCTAGAGGAAAGGAGAATTTTCACATCAAGTACGGTCAACATTTTTAGAAAAAGAAAGTGTCGGGCTATAATATCAAAAGAGAAAGATAATGTTTATGGTAGCATTTTCCAGGTGAAAAAAGAAAAGCAGGGAGGGAATAAAGGGTTCTTTCTCAGCAAGCAGGCATCCAGTGAGTTACCACGGCACTAGCGGAGACATCACTACCCCTCCCCACGCCTGGATCTTTGCATCTTGTCTCTCTACCTTCTCTCTAAGTCGGCCATTCTGGATGATCGTCGTTGAGCCTACGGAGTCTCAACATGCTACAAAACCAGTGGAGTCTTCCATTGTAAACATCCTCAGCAGAGAAGCATAGCCCTTGTACTATTTCACGTCACTCTGTCTGGGTCACCCAGGTGTCACGGAGCACTGTGTGCAGGTATGGATGTGCAGGAGCCCCCTACTCACTCACCCACCATCCCTTCCCTGACATCACCAAGGAGCAAATCGTACTTATACCTGGTAAGAGAATAGCACCCCTTAAAAAGCCTCCTCTTATTGTTCAAACACAGTGCATTTGCCAAACACCCTTCATTAATCAAGTCGCCTATTGGGGAGTAATAGGATGTGTGTGAGTTAAATGCTGTCCCCCAGGAGAACCTGTATCATCAGGATTTTTGGTTGTGTTTTTTAAAAAGCTTCTTGTTTTACTCTAGTGGGGATGTCGGAGGAATCATGAAAGCTAGAAGGGAAAACAACGCACACTCCCTATGTCTACATGAACAGCAGACAGGAGGCAATCTCACCAAAGTCTAAAGGGCCCGTTTCCCACAGCGTACGTAAGCACGCCCCATGGAATCGTTACCACAAGCCAAACCACTGTATTTCGTTTTTGTTTAAGAAGAAAGAAGAAAGGAAGAAAGACAATATAAGGGTAACGAAAGACCAAATAAACAATGACTCAAGTCGGCGCCCTCTGCTGGCCCGGCTGGTGGTTCCAGTTATGCAGTTGTCTCCTGGGCTTCCCAGGCCCCGTGGTCCCCGGCGGGCTCCCCCGGCACCTCTGGAGCAGACCTCTTTGCCAAGGTGCTCTGCTGTGCCCCTCTCTCCTCCTGCACCGGCCTGATCACTTGAGGCGCTGAGTCACGTTGGCCAGGGCGACAGCAAAGGCCTGCACGGCGGAGAAGGGGTACTGGAAGTCCAAGATGTAGGCGTTGCCATCAATCCTGCCAAACTGCATCACCTGGTTGGGGGGGGGGAGCAGAACCGTTAAGGAAAGAACAGGTCGGACAGAGCAACCAGATCGTACACCTCCTCATGGAAGCAGACAACACCATCTATGAGACAGTTTGCCGAAAGAAGCTTCCAGATCTAACTGCCTGTTTGTAGGAACTAAGGGGACAGAGGAACATGTTAAATGGCACAGCGGGGAGACAAGGGGCAGAATCCAGAAGGTAGAAAACTCCAGGGTTCAAAAGACGTGGTTTCTTCACCAAGTAAAAAAAGAAAGGGAGAAAGGAGAACCCATCTGTAGGCAGAAACATGAGACCCATCAGCCGACTGCAACTGTCAAACGTCACTGCTCAGGGAAGGCTTCCCAGCCACACACCTTCTTGCCCTGCTTTTCCTGTCATCTCAGTGCCGTGGCAACCATATCACACTAGACAACAGTCCACGGTCTGCTGTATACTTATGTGCTCACGGTCCTGCTCCCACTAAAAGGTAAGCTCCGCGAGGGCAGGGACCATGTGTCCTCATTGCTGTACCTTCAGCTCTTAGCAGGGCTGGCAAGCCTTCTGTAAAGGGCTAATGACAAAGATCTAGGGCTCTGTGGGTCCTGTGGTCTTTGTCACGCTGTTCAACTCTGCTCTGAAATGCAAAATCAGCCACGGACACCCCCTGGATGGCAGGAGTGGTTGTACTCCAATAAACACTGCCGACAGGACCCGGCAGCAGGCCGAAGTGTGCCGACTCCTGGCTTAGAGCATCGCCAAGCATAGAGCAGGTGCTCAATAAATATTTGCAAAGTGAATTAACAGAGGTGAGACTTTAACTCTGAGTGAGGTAAGGGAATTCCCAGGGTGGCGGAGAAGGGACACACTGGCCCAGCAGCTCTGCAGCCGGGCCAGAGCAACTCGGCCAGGATGGAGCCTGGCACGCTGAACTGTCCTGGAGGAGATTCACACTGCTCCAAAGAACTGGGGAGTGACTTAATAACCACGCAGAGAAACAAGCACGACAACACACCAAGGCCATTATTATACCTAGAGAAAAAAGCCATACACCAGAGGAAATGTAATCAAACCTCGTACACGGCTCAGCTGTGGCCGGTATTGCTGGGCACAGCAGGTGCACAGTGACTACTGTATCTGGGGGAAGGAGGAAGGGAAAGTTCACACGGGTCTATGAGTGTCGGGGGAGAGAGGAGGTGGCAGTGAACACATCTAGCCCTCATCTTTCTCAGGATGAAGCTGCTATGTGAC